AGAGAGAGAGAAAGAGAGAAAGTGAGAGAGAGAGCGGGAGGGAAACAGAGAGAGAGAGAGAGAGAGAGAGAGAGAGCGAGAGTGAGGGGGAGAGATATATAGAAAGAGAGAGACGGCTAGTGACAGAAATACATACATAAGGTACCAAAATCCCATGCCTAATCCACCACCCCCACCCGGCATTCGGACCCACTGATGGAGGACTCAAATCTTCCCCACATCTTGGGTGGATAATTGGGTGTGAGATGGGCAATTCCGTCTCTCTCTCTTCATGCCCAGGTTGCGCGACGTATTTTGGAGCCTCGCGTAGTGTCCAGGTGGTCGAACACCTGGCCCCCCGTCTCTCCGGCCCCCAATCTTCCATATATATCCTACTATAAGGCTACTGGGGACATTCATGGAATCGAGTCACCCCCAATTGTTGTGCAACCGCCGCGCAGGCTAGCTACGTTTTTTGGGTGGCGCAATTTGGTGTTGAGCGGAATTTTCGGAATATTCCGCCACTTGACTGAAAGGCAGGTACTGGACTGTTAGCGGGGGGGGGGGGCTCAATTTTTGACTACAGCCCGGTACGGTGCAAAACTGAAACAGACGATTTATAACATCTGTAACGCCATTTGAAGTATCAAAACATCACTAGAATTCAGGAATGTTAAACAATTAAGATCTTCTAAATGCTTGATACTTGTCCTCACCAAAAACCACGATTAAACCATTGAATGCGCTCGACCCCCCTGCCCCCGTTAACAGACAAGCACCGAAAGGACCGCTTAGGAAAGAACAGAAAAACAAAAATCCGCCAGTTCCTAGTGTCTTCATCCCTTTTAGTCTCAAAATACTCGGATCCAAGCCTAAGCCAGATACTATGGCGTAAGCGTTCATTTTCATTCCCGGCTCTCCCAGCTCGGTAATATTTCGAGGTTGAAGCGGCCGGGCAGTGGCAATCAGGATTGGCCGGCTGGTGGTGAGTACGTTCTCTCTCTCTCTCGCTCTCTCTCTCTCTCCCCTCTCTCTCTCTCTCTCTCTCTTTCTGCATTTGTGTGACCACGGATGGGGTGTGCGTTTTATTGGGCCTTTAATTAAAATGCTGGCCCCGTGGCTGGGGAGGATGAGGGACATTAGTGTGCCTTTAAAGGGGTCGCCGAAACGGGACCCGGACACGGACCCCCAGGGTGAATGACCAATGGGGGAGAGGGAGATAGACAGACAGACAGACAGAGAGAGAGAGAGAGAGAGAGAGAGAGCGACACACACATTGCAGCAGCACCAAATTGCTGCGGCCCGGATGTTGGAGGGGTTCAAAGACCCCACGAGGGAGCTTCACCTAATTGGGAATATCAAAGCAGTGCGTAGGGTCATCGAGTTTTGGCTCTAAAGGAGCCGGGAAGGCCAAATCGACGTCTCGCTCGGCTAGGTGCCGACAGCTACGCGGTACACTAAAATACGCGCCAAGTCGACGTCTGTGTTGCCACCGAAAAGACCGTGAAATGAATGAATACAATTTTTTGTTATCTAGCTACCGTAGCGCGGTGTTGGCCTTTCCAGTGCATTTCGCCGATATATCTCGATTATCCAAAAGCTGCCCCACCTCCCTCGTAATCCTAACCCTTCCAGGCTTGGGCTTGAGGAGCCGGCAATTAGCCCTCCCATGCCCTCTCGGATATGCCTATAGGTAGTGGATGTGCCCTCAGAGCCCCAAATTGTCGCTTGGCTTCAAATCCCGGGGCCCCTGGGCCACTACTACTACACAAATAATAAGACGCCCTAGTAGGGGGAATGGTGGATGCGGAGGGGTAGGGGATAATTACCCTCGTCGCGGTGTATATATGGAGATCCTGCAGCTCCTCCTCTACCTCTAGAGAGCGAGACAGGGATCGTGAAAGAAAGAGAGAGAGAGGGAGAGAGAGAGAGAGAGAAAGAGAGAGAGAGAGAGATAGAGAGGGAATTATAATGGTCACTTTGCCATCCTCGGGTCGGTCATCTCCGGGCGGATAAAAGGGTCAGGTTGGGGAACGATCCTACCTTATATAATTTTGGCGTGTATCTTTGTGTGTGTGTGTGGATGTCAGTTTCGAGGCCCGATTTGAAGGCCTTCCCGTGTATAAAATGCGCTAATTCTTCGTCACTTGGGGTAATCGACTCTTCTGATTCCGATGGCGTTCTCAGAATTTCGATAAAATACAAGTTTACAAAGTTAAAGCCGGTTTTATTCATTTTTCGGGGTTCAGGAGGGCTAATTTGCATAATGTGAAAAAATACAAATTTCCTCATTCTTGCCAGTTGCACGCGCGCGTGTGGTGGGGGTCCGAAGGACCCGAGCTACCGGAAGGTCAAATTTCTCATGCAAACGCATCATTCCAGCGCCCAAGGCCCGCGAAGCGGGTTTTGGGCGCTGGTATACGGATAAAAAAATTCTGAAAGCCGAAATACCCGGACAAAAATAATCCCGACAAGCTAACGTCCCGGCCACCATAATCCGGAAAGCGAAAATCCCAACAACCAAGGTACCGACAGTCAAATTTGAAAAGCTGAAATCCCGACAAATTTTTGGCGCTACTTTTAATGTCACTTCCTTTTAAACAGTTACAATCGCAATTCTGACGGTCGGGAATTTGAAGTGGTAAAAACGTTCAAAAACCCCCATTTTCCAGGCCACGACACGGTGTGCAAGATCCTGATCCAGCACTCCGTCGACATCAACTCGCGCAACGTCTTCGACGCGTCCGCTTTGGACTTGGCGGCTACGGTAGGCCATACTCTAAGAATTCGAATTTTCGTTTCAGGCTGGTCATCTCCAATGCGTCCGCGTGCTTGTCGACAGCGGGTTGGTGAATGTGGATGGGGATCGGTTTGTGAGGTAGAAAAATTTAATAGAATATACAAAAATGCAGATTTGATGATAATAATAATATATTGCAAAATCCAATTATTTTGAACATAAACTTAAATATCAATATGCCAAAATATTAATATTAGCAACGTTTAGCACCACTCCACTGCACCGAGCCGCCGAAAACGGGCACGACAAGGTGGTGGCGTTTTTGTTGAGCTCGGGCGCAACGATTGGTGAGTAAAAAAGATTAATAAATACGCATTAAAAATAGCTAAAATACAAGATTATAAATAATGCTAAAAACGATCATTTTTCGTCCCTAAAACAGCCCAAAAACCGGTAAAAGCTTCCTTTACAGACGCCGCAAATCCGGTGGGCCTCACGGCACTTGGCATCGCGCTGCAAGCCGGGCACAGGTTTTGTAAACTTAAAATCGCCGCTAAAACTATTTTTTAAAGGACAGTAGCCGAGGCGCTGTTGGCGAGACCGGATTGGCGGCTTCTTTTGCGCCGTTCAAATACCCTTACGCACACCCGGCATAAGGTAAGTCTCGAAAAAATAGGCATCTTAATGACTATTATATTCTTTAAAGTAATCGGCTCATCAACAAGCCAAAACTAGCATTTCAATCGTTAACCAATTGCAGACGGAGAAAGAGACGCCGATGCGGAAGATGATCGCCAAATTCCCCGAGCTGGCGTCGCTGGTGATGGACAAGTGCATAACGTAAGTTTTGGAAGATATCGAGAAAGACAGGATAGCTAGGATCTTTTAAGGAGGTTGTTAGGCTTGGCTTAGGCTTGGCTTGGGCTTGGCTTGGGCTTGGGCTTAGGCTTGGCTTAAGCTTGGCTTAGGCTTGGCTTAGGCTTGGCTTAGGCTTGGCTTAGGCTTGGCTTAGGCTTGGCTCAGGCTTGGCCTAGGCTTGGCCTAGGCTTGGCTTAGGCTTGGCTTAGGCTTGGCTCAGGCTTGGCTTAGGCTTGGCTTAGGCTTGGCTCAGGCTTGGCTTAGGCTTGGCTTAGGCTTGGCTCAGGCTTGGCTTAGGCTTGGCCTAGGCTTGGCTTAGGCTTGGCCTAGGCTTGGCTTAGGCTTGGCTTAGGCTTGGCTTAAGCTTGGCTTAGGCTTGGCCTAGGCTTGGTTTAGGCTTGGCTCAGGCTTGGCTTGGGCTTGGCTTAGGCTTAGGCGGGCCAGGAAGTCGGATAAATATAAATATAATAGAACAAAAAACAAACAAAAATCAATTTATGTATTGGTAACTTTCATAGTACTTTCATATTATATCGTCTCATTCAAGATCCAGCACATAGTCCTTGTATTCGGGCCGGTCCCACGGGGGGTCCGAGGTGCGGACGGTGCGAGTGTGCCAAACGTAGAGCTCTTGCGGGGGGTGCTGAAAATAACTGTGGTCAAAGGGTTGTTAATGGGGGGGGGGAGGGAAGAGCTCTGGCTCCCCTTAAAGTCTTCAGCCCCACCCCTGGTTCCGCTACGCCGAACGCATCGATGTCGCGCTCCTCTACGCCGCACTGCAACAGGAAGCAACTTTCCTGACGCCCGTGGACGCATTTTGGCTCAAAACGAGGGTTTTTGCTGAAAAGAAGACAGATTAGAGAGTGGGAGAGAAATAGAAACCGAGAGCGAAAGCGAGAGAGAGAGAGAGAGAGAGAGAGATAAATCACCTGATAACAATGTCGAGGCTGATGGCAAACGCGGCTATATCCACGGGAAACGGGCTTGACGGCAGGTAGCGCACCAACCAGTCGACTACCTAAATCATAAGCCAAAAAATCTCGCTATCAGAGCCGGAAATTACCACATTATTTTCTACGATTGGTGCTTCGGCTACGACGCCACCGACGGAGCCTAAAAGCGTAAAAATGAGACCATTGGCCAATAAGGAGCACCACCAACCGACGGGCCACACACCGAGACGCTCCACCCTTCTGATGCACTCCTCGAAGAGGCGGAGGTCGTACGTGTTGTCGTCGTCGCCAAAGTAGACGTTGGCTTGGAGGGTGGGACCGACGATCTAAAAGAAATTTTTGGAGAGCGAGAGCAAGAGAGAAAGTGAGAGAGAAAGAAACGTACCTTCTCCGTGTTGTTCCGCAGATATTCGAGCGCCATGTTACGCTGCCACCAGCCTTTTGCTAAAAAAGGTTGGTAAGACTCCAGATAACCCCCCAGCCGGTACCCAACTTTTGTATCTGGGCTCCCTGTTCATCTACAGGTGTGTAAAGTATACCAAAATGTTCGTCTTGCTTTGGCGAGTATTTTGGTATACTTTACACACCTGTAGATGAACAGGGAGCCGAGATACGGTAGGTGGGGGTCGGCTGGGGGGGGGGTATCTGGAGTTTAGCCAAAAGGTTTCTTGTAGATGCTACACATCTGCAACGCGTTCAGCTAACATGCTGCCAGAAAAACATGCAGGCAAGCTGGCAGAGAATTCTCAGGAAACCTAGCTTTCTTCTAGCTCTCTGAACTTGCTGAAGTTGTTGCCGTTGCTAGAGATGCAGACAGCGAGAGAGAGAGAGAGAGAGAGAGAGATGGCTAGGGAGACAGAGAGACAGAGACAGAGACAGAGACAGAGACAGAGACAGGGAGAGGCAGAGAGCTATAACGTACCATCATCGGATCGTCGTACGCCCGGAGCGACCCCGGCCAAATAGCTGTACGGTAGTTGGGAGCGGCGTAGAATGTCATCTACTGCCTTGACCGTCCAGTCTCCGTCCTCCACGACAATCCAGTGCAGAGCGGGCACCTGGCGCAACGTGTTCGCCAGCCTAAAAAAGGGGTAGATTACCGTCTCGTCCCCCCCCCCCCCCCCCCGATAGCAGACCAAACCAGCGTGTTTCGTCTACTTGCGAAACCAGACCCGACCGACCTCGTCATGTCAGCCAGTCGATTCATCCGTCGGTACGTCGGCGTGACGAAGACGATCATCTTTGGCTTCTGAAGCATACAGATTCAGTAATCAATGGCTAAGCCATTACCGTATCCAAGCCGAACGGAGCGCCTTGATGCAATGACGCCTTGAGCACGAAAAACAACCCAAGGGCTATGGTAGCCGCCATGGCGAATGCTGAAAAAATGATTTTGCGGGATTACGGTAGCAAGCGTACTTTTTAAATGGCCGGACCACCGGCCATTTTGTCGCACGACCATTGTGGCTATGAGAGAACAGAAGAACCATCTTTGCGCATCTTTATCTCCAGCTATGTAAAATATATATTTATGCAAATTTTGCAGTATTCAATTCCCCACGGGCCATTTGCCTACCTGATCTAAAAAGGGGAAGGAAAAAAGATTTGCGTTTTTCATGGCTGGACCTTTAATAAATAACACATTCACGTTGCTTATTTCCAAAATTTTAAATTTCAAAAATTTCACACAAATTTTTGCATTGAAAATGCCGATTTTTAAAGCTGTTCAGCATTTTTGTGGGCCCTAAGAAGAATTGATTCATAAAGTGCTGTGCGTTTTAGCACATATTCAAAATATTCGCTTCCAAAGCTTATTGAAAATTCATCCAAAATGGCCTCGAAACCACCCCCGTTTTATAGCATGGAAAACGAGGGCGCCTACCTGACGATGATCTACGATTTCGAGTTTATCGACGACACCTACATGATGCCGGTTGAAGAGGATGGGAAAACAGGTGAATTTTTGCTTAAAATCAAGTACTTTATTGTTACAAAATTAGTTATTGTTTTTTTAGTGCTAAAAGCCCTGGACCAATGCGGGAACGGTCCATATGATGAAAGCGGGCGAGTACGGCCGGAGGCGGTGCCCTACAACAAAAACCACGACCGCATCTACTACGAGCATCCGCTGAAAATGATGGTTAGATCTGGGAATTGACGTTTGAAAACTAAAATAAACTTTCAGGCCGATTCCGAGCGAATGTCGCTGCTATCGCACAAGCTCGTCAAAGAACTGCTAAAGTTGAAGTGGAACAACCTCGGAAAATATGTCTACTATTCAGGTATGTTGCGAGAAAAGAGTAATTTTCTTGAATTCCAGCCTCGTTCGTCTACCTCGTGTTTTTGCTGTGCTTCACCACGTTTCTCGCCATGATCCCGGCTCCGTTTAACGTACGATACGGCAATGGGACGATGATGGACCTGATGGACGATGGGAACGCTACGTGTAGTTCGGCTGTACGTTTTTGTTTAGTCTTGCTTTTTGGCATTTTAGCTAATTCTAAATCACTTCTAAACAATTTTAAACGTTAATAGATGATGAAAAGGCACTAATTGAGAATTTTCAATGAGCGCATCGTTTGTAGGTCCAGAGGAATGCGACGTAGTCCAGTATCCGGCTACGTGCCGGTACTATAAATACGACTACTTTTCCCAAATCATCACAATATATAGCAGATTCATTTAATTTAATGCGTCCCTCAACTTTTAAATTCGATGAATTTTTATCTTTTTTTTTCAGCAAGACTTCCACAACGCCTACATCAACCTCTTCAAAACGATCGTCATGTGTCTAGCCGGCGCGCAGATTGTCAAAGAGGTACTTAAATGCTTTTGGTTATTTTATTTTATACGTTTTATTAATTGTATACAGCTAATTGATACACATTTGATCAACTTCAGATCTACCAATTCTACACGCGCCGCTGGGCCTACCTCTCGTGTAGGCATTCTCATCTTTTTCCTAGCCTTTTTTAGTGGAAAACCTGCTCGAAATCTTCATCTACACGGCGGCAATCATGACGATGTACGACTTCTCTCCCTGCTCGGAGCACTCGGCGATACGTTTGGTACTATTTTGACGTTTTAACGAGCTAATTTGAATTTTCAGAACTGGCAATGGATGCTGGCGACGCTGGGCACATTCTTGGCGTGGATCAATTTGGTAATTTTGGAAAGTACCACTGATAACAGTGCCAATTTCAGTTACTCCTCATCCGCAAGCTGCCCCGGTTTGGCATCTTCGTGCTGATGTTCGTCGACGTGTTCAAGACGTTCACCCGGTTCGCGCTCATCTTTTTCCTGTTCATCACCGCCTTCTCGATCACCTTCTTTTTGATGATGCAGAATCGGGTGGGTTTTTCGCTGCTAGTTTTTAGTTTTTTTTTCAGCCGGAATTCTCCACGATTCCAATGTCGATCGTCAAGACGCTGGTGATGACGATTGGGGAGATGGAGTACAACGGCATCTTCCACGGCACAGTCGATGTACACGAGGAGAGGTGGGAACGTTTTAGAATATATTTATTAGTTCTCTTAGCCTATTCTCCAAGGCGATCGCGTTCCCGGTGTTTTTCCTGTTTTGCGTGCTGATGACGATCCTCCTGATGAACCTGCTGGTCGGTTTGGCGGTCGACGACATCAAGTCGGTACAGGAAAAGGCCGAGCTGAAGCGGCTGTCGATGCAGGTGGCGGCTTTCGGAAAGAACATACGTTAAAAATGACTTCTAGGTCGATCTCGTGCTCCAGGTGGAGCGCTCGATGTCGTTTTGGCGGAAGAAGTTTACGCGGTCACGGCTTTCGTTCTACCCTAATCGCATTACGAAATGGAAGAGGTGAGTTGGGCTAAACGTGCAAATACATAGTTTTGAGTATTTTCAATCTATATGCTGTATTTTGGGCTATTTCTAACCATAAAATCTTACACCTTTATCAAAACTACAAAAAACTAACGATGTTTCGAGCAAAAAGGCGGTTTTTTGTGAAAATTTGAACCTTTAAACTATTTTTTACGTTTTCCACTTGAAATCCAGCTCAATTTTACTAAAAAGACCATAAAAATACTTGTAGAAAAATTCGTCCCCCCGGAAAGAACAGACACCTTTTCTCAGATTCCGTCGCTTGTTTGGCGCCAATCAACTCGATGATTACAGCGATGTCTACGATCAGCAAGCGGCAGAGGTAGGTAAAAAAAAAATACATTATTATTAAAGTAAACTCAAGCTGTTGCTCAACCTCATCAAATATAGCTAAACCCTTTCAGGAAGAGAGCAGCGGGTTGAAGCGCGAGCTGGGCATGCAGCGCGAGCTGATCAACCACTTGCAGACGAATGTCGACTATTTGTACGAGAAGCAGGTAGACAAAAATTACCAACTAAATCGTGCATTGTAGGTGAAATTCCAAGATATGCTCGAGTCGATCATGGAGAAATTGGAGACAATTTCGAGCGACAGCCGGCAGATGCTCGCAAATTCGAGCTCAGCGGAGGCAGCGCAGAAGCTCGAAAAATCGAACTCTGCCGAGGCGGTACCACCGGCTAGTCGAGATGCTACACACCTGCTCACAACTGATCAAGACTTCAAGATGCCCGATGAAGACTAGGGATTATTGTATTTGTGGATTGAACGGGTGTTTTTAATTACTTTGGGTAATGTGCAATATGAGATTTTGAGTGTTATGTGTTTTTTTTTCAGTACGCTAAGCTTCAGATGACCCCTAAGCGGGTCTCCAACTGATGTATCTCGGCTTCCGCTTGTGCTACAGGGGCGTAAAGTATACCAAAATACTCACCATATCAAGGCGAAGATTTTGCTATACTTAGCACCCCTGTAGACTCATGGAAAGCGGATATACGAAAGTTGCGGGACCGGCTGGGGGATTCTTTCTAGTCTTTGCCTAAATAAATTCTCCTGAGCTTTGTAGATAATTCACACCAAAGCCGCAAAAAATCAGCAAGAATTTATCGGCAAAACACCGCCGCATTCGATCAATTCTCGAGCCACATCTCGCGAAGCCGGTACGGGCCCTTCTCCTCGTCGATGCGCACCCCGTCACGGTCGACCATGTCGGAGACCATGAAATCTAGAAAGAGCCGCTTTGTTTCGTTTATGAATCTATTTCCGCACTCTCTTCCTTGCGCTTTTCGAAGTAGATGCGGCGACGGTTGCCCTCGGCGTTCGGGCTCGTCACCAGCAAGTAGCGGCGTTGCAGCTAAAACAAGGAATATCAAATGCTCTCGGTTTCGTTAACCTTGGATAATTCCCCGTTGCTATAGGACTTTAAAGTATACCAAAGTTTTTTTCTATTGTTTTTATGACTACACAACTTTGCTAGCAAATTACCGCAAAAAAAACAGCCTGGTTGTTGCTCCCTGCACGCACCTGGTTGTCCTCGATCTTGATCAGCGTGCCGCCATCCTCCAGCGTCAGAATCAGGCGCTGCTCACCGAGCACCGGCTTCATCTCGAAGCTGCAGGGTGGAATGTGTCTTGGAAATCCTAGAAAATGCCCAACATTTTCTGCCAGTCGTCGCTGCTGCGGTCCTTGACGCAGGGGAACCACGGCACGGCGGGGGGCGTCGGCTCGGCCATTGTTTTAGGCTAAACCCGTGTTGTTTTCAGGGTTTTGTAAAAGATTCCTACCAAACTTTTGTAAACTGTCGAATAGCGGGAAGAAATAGGAATTTGGGGGATAATGTGTCTTTTTAGTTTTCTAGCGCCCCGGAAGATTATGCTGAATTCATTATTAGTGTATTCTAAATTCAATATCTTTTTGAATGGTAATTTAACTTTTTTTAGTTTTCTTCAGTGTTTCCCCAGCCGCGCCTCTGCCCTCTTCTCCTTTCCAGCTCTCTCAATTTCACTTCGCAGCCGGGCGGGAATTTGAAGCCCATTTTCATGTCCTTTTCGTAAAATTTTCCGCATTTGTTTTTCATTTATTCTAACGTATAAAAAAACCTATAAGCTCATTTCAGATGCCAGCACGCGACATCAGCAACCAACTAGTGGTGTTCGGGCGCAGAAACTGCCGCGAGTTTTCCGATTTGTTGAAGACGCTCAACTTCAACGACCCGAGTTCACAGGTACTTCCTTTTGTATTTTATGAATAACTCTATTTGAGGACGTCACCTTCTGGTTCAAGAACAGCGGCGCGAAGCTGTACAACAACGACCGGCACTCGAATCAGATTGAAATCTACCTGATGCACGACTCATTCGAAAAGTAAATTCACACAATTCCGGTTTTAAAGCTCCACATTTAGATACGAGCTAAAAGCTGACGATATTGCGGTCTCGGTTCGGTTGCAGAGTGTGCTGGTAATTTTCAGTTATTTGATCATTTTCTGCGCTTAGGACTGCCTATTTGTTCTTGATGGCGCCACCTCGTGCTTTGAAATTCACTACGAATCGGTGGGCGCACCTCTGAAAATCTACACCGAAGACGACGGGGTGGTTCTGGAGGCGACGATACCAACGACAGAAGTAAACCTGGTAGCTTTATTTTGTTTATCACGTATTGCTAGTCGTCAGGATAACCTCGACTTCGAATTCACGAACGTGATTCTGGATATCTACATTCGAAAGGCCCTTTTTCAAGACACGATTCGGGCAAGTTTTTCTATAATGTTTATTCTTTTTTCCAGGATTTGGTGCATGACGCGACAAAAATCACGATAAAGTTCAGCCCGGATCGTATCGTGTTTTGCGGGATCATCGGCGACATGGGCGAGTCTTACGTAGGCGCCCTATTTACCTCCAAATTTCAAGATTTTAGACGGAATTCCCGCGTGGATCCGACGAGCTGGAAAGTTATACCTGTGAGGACCACGGAGCGTTCAGCTATACGCCGAAAATCCTGAAGCGCCTCATCCCCTCGCTTGCCATTACGACCGGGGTAACTTCCGGTTTGTTTCGAAAACATTTTGTCTAGGCTCAGCTAAAAATTGACGAGCGCGGCAATCTGAGCGTGCGAAGTCAAGTGCACCTGGTCGATGCGCCAGAAAAACCCTTCGTCGATTTCAAGGTGACATTTTGGCTCTGTTTTGGCGTTAGCCGTAAACACTGACGTCGTTCGCTAATTTTTTTTATGACAAACCTTATTTTATCATTTTAGTGCGTGCCGATGACCGTCTACGACGACGAGCCAGAGTAGAATTTTCGAGGCGTTTTTGCTCTATTTTGCCAGGTTGTGCAATAATAATAAAGTGCGGGTATCCTGCGTTTTTTGGTAATTCTTCTACGATGGGGAACGGCGCGTAGAACTTCTAAATGCTTTCGTAAAGGTCCCATGTCGCGGCCCATTTAACAACGATTTATTCATGCTGTGCAAAGGCGCAATCACGGGTTGGCAAGTCGATCTTCTCGATCTGTGGTGGATGAGGGAATCTAGGGTCTAAACTAGTGGTGAGCCCGTTCAGAATTGGTGCAGCGAGCAGCGGCGGGCTGCCTCGAGCTCGGCGGCCAGCTCGACTTCTAGCCGTGAGAGTTGGGCCCGGAGAGTTGCGATTCGCTCCATGCTGGTAGAGCATATGGGCCAGTCTATAACGATGTTTAGTTAGGACTTGTCGAGCTGATAGATGTCGGAAAAAGATTTTGGTTTGAGCTCGTTCTACCCACCTTCACTTTGCTGGGGTTGGGCCCGTTTGGCCACTTCCGGGATCCCCATTTGATTTCGAGTCAACGAGCGCTCTGCTCTAAAATGGGGCTCATTTCTTGGGATTAATAGTTAGGTCTTCCAGTTAATTTATTCAGCCATTTGAGTTTCGAAACGAAATAACGGCTTTTTAAGATGCGACAAGTTCAGCTAGTGTATCACTTCGGCCTTCTGGTCATAGTAAGCACAAAAACTATTAAAAGGCCCACCGTCTTGGGCCATTGAGCAGCACGAGTCGCCCGATAGACAGGTTGGCTTGAGCGATCTGGGCGAAAAGCGCCGAACATATGACCACCATCACCAGTCGCTGCATTTTCGCGGGACGGCGCGGCCACGGGGATACCCTAAAGAAAAAGAAGGGCTTGATTACTCGTATAGAAGGTATTAGAAAAGGCGAAAGCAAACTTTTATGGCAATTTTAGGCATTGCCAAGCCTCGGGCAAAATTCGGAAGAGTTAAAGTAGAGTTATACGATTCTGCGCCCCGGTCCAAAACTCGAACTTCCCACCTGTTTTCCGCGCACCCGCCCTATTTACGCCGGTGGCAAATGCGAACTTTTGCGCCCAGAAAATGGCCGGTTTCGCGGCGAGGAACAGCCCGAAGATCCTGGCACACAGCACACAGCAAATTTCGGAGAAGCTTCGGGTTGTTTTGTGGCCCGGCTCGCCGGGGGTGATGTTGGTTTGCGCGAGATGGGCAGCCGGGGTATCGCTTGGTAACCTCTGCCCGAGTTTTTGGCACTTTAGCCTCGTGAATTATGGGGTGGGGGAGGAATTTGGTTGTATTCGAGAATGTGTCGAATACGTCAATTTTTGGGGGACTGTAATTCGATTTCGATGATGCCCTTTTTGGGAGGATATTGTTGAGCCGCGACGGAAATATGCGGAAAATTGGGTTGTAAGTCTAATTTGCGGAATCGAATCGCTTTCTAGTTGATCGCCGGCCATTCATGGTCTGGTTACGAAGATCAAAAGACACAAATGTACAGCCAGCCGAGACGAACGAACGCAACAGCCGAAATGAGACATTGCGCACTCGGTGGCCCCATTTCTTAAGCCCCTCCTGCGCTTCCACCTGCCCGCCAGGCCCGAAATGCCAGCAGGTGCTTCGCGTGCCCGATCTTGTCCTAAATAGGCGGCCGCGTTGGCCCCCGGTACCGCCCCGTCGAAATCAGCCGGCTTTTTGTTTGGGGGCGGGTACGGTAGAGGTGTAGGCGATTCTGGTGGACCCTGGTCTTGTCGGGAAAGGGCAAGGAAGGTTTATTTTTCACTTTTGGTACTGACGCGTTCAAGAAAATCTTTTAAACTTGATTAAATTTAAACGTTTAAACCAGGTTTCAATAAAATTTCCGTTATTCAGTTAAGCTGTTTCATTTGAAGGTTTTTAAAATAGTTTTTTTATTTTCTTATTGAAACCGCCTTTAACCTTGATTTGGTTGGAATAAGCCCTAGCTGGATAATTCTCTACGTTCAGCTAAAGATACGTTTAAGCATCGGTGCTAGCTGCTCTACTTGCTCAACTTGACGTGCCGCCTCAAACAACAGTGAAGCCACGACGGCGCGCAACGTGCATTCCCGGCCATAATTAACCCCCGACCGGCGCCAAAAATGGAAATGCACCGGTGGCTAAAAATTGCGCGTAGTAGTCGAGTAGGGCGCATTATGGCCGTCGTGCCTAAATACTTCCTCTCGCGTCTCATCCAATTCTGAAATATTGCCTGGCTGATTACCCGGTCGAGCGTGGAGCGGGGTTGGGTGATTTTTGGCGTTAAGGTCGTCGCTAAGTCAAAGGTCACAGCGAGGCGAGGCGTGGACATCAAAAGTTAGTGGCAAGCGCTAAAGCATCGTAGAAGGCGAGTCTTCAACCAGAAGCCGGGTGAACAGCGGTGATTAACTGAAAGTATTAAAATAGGTCTGATGTTCCCGGGTGCGGCAAATAGCTCGCGTTTCTCACGTCCTACCATAACAAACTAAAAGTGCCAGATTTTTGATGCCGGGTACCCAGTGACGGGGCAATCTGTATGGCGCGTATGCGTCGTTTGCTCTCAGGCAGCCCTTTGTTGGGTGGGAAACACCTGGTCGGCGCTGACATTTCACTAGCAACACCCGGTTGTAGCTGGTGTTGCATTCAGCTGTTACGGCACGCGGGGTACGGTAGCAAAATTACGCCTTTGTAACGCAGCTCGAGAATAGAGAATCTGTGCTGGCGATTACAATCAGATATCTAGGAGATTTATCCCGGAGATCGAAGCGAATTCAACGAGATTTGAAGGCACACAACCGATATCATCCAACTCGTAAATGGCAAGAGGCAAATGGAATGAAACTTGAGAACATGAAAGGGGGTATGAATCGAATTAATGGGCATCATATCGGAAAATTAAGTCTAGCCGAATCGCGGCACAAAAACAAAGAAATAGGCTAACTTGTAAGGCAAAATGTGAGAAGCCACTTAAAAAGAAAACCCAGCATTTTGGGTGCTGTTGGAAGAGGCGTGCATCGTCTGCGAAAAGTCGTTGGGCTCGGTGATGAGCTGGCCGAGCTCCGAATGTTCCACCTCGCGCTGGTAGGGGCGGATTAGCTGGAAAGAAGTAATTATCACCAACACCGCAACACGACACCCACCATAAACGAATGGGGCGTCGCCCAAAACGGACCCGGGTTGACGACGTTGCATTCCTTGCTCGACTCACTGAAAACGGGGGGTGACGTGGGAGTGTTGAAAAAATTGCTTACTGGAAAGGTTGGAACTTGTCGGCAATAATGAGCGTGTCGGGAAGTGCTGGCATTCTAAAAATAAAAGTTTACGCCTATAGAAAATGGTACCGTAGCGCATGGTCGAGATTCCATATCACGGGCGATACATGGATGGGCACCGGGCACAGATGAGCCTGGCTGAGGACCGTTTGGACGGCGGCCTTTGCCAGTTCCTAAAAATTATCAATCACATATATTTTCAGCATCAAAAAAATTATAATCTCTGGCCCGTTTCTCACCGCTAAAAATATAAATCCGCCAAAATCCGACTCAATTAGGCTCGTATACCCGAACCCAAGCTCCTGCAAAAATTTCGGGCAAGAAGCAAAAAGTTTGCCACCTGCGGGGTTCGAACCCGCGCCCGGTTACCCGGACCCGATCATAAGTCGGGCGCCTTAGACCACTCGGCCAAGGTGGCGATGATGGGTGAAGACAAAACCCCCCTCTTATATGCATGAAATTCAGCATTTTCAGTAATGCTGAAAATGCTGAAAATGGGCCGGGGGAGGGGGAGCCGACCCCGGGGAGTGTTATCCGCGCACCAATGGCTGCCACACTCTCCTTACTTCAGGGGGCCTGTTCGTATAAAAATTAGTGAGCTATACCTGTTCCGTCGCAGGGACGTTGACAGCATGTCGGCATAACTTCTCGATTACGTCCTCGCGGTAGACGACAATCTCGGAGTTGGCCAGCTGGACGCGAGCCGGATTTCCGACGAATTGACATTTTGGCCACTAAAAATACGCTGGTGGAATCAGTGAATTGACATATTGAAAACAGAACAATTAAAAATACAAACCCGCTGCAAATACTCCTCGCATAGCTCGCTGGGCAACGAAAGTCGCGGGGTCACACATTGCGTCGGTGGGTCGTCGGGACCGGGCACGAAGATAAAGTGCGTCTCAGCGTGGTCGGCCTCAAACTCCTCGAGCACCGAGGCTAAGTGCCTAAAATCGAGGAATAAAAATAGGTTATCCAAATCATACCGGAATCCCCGGTGGAGCACCTCCATTGTTTGTGGCTGTCGGCATTGCGAGGAGAAATTACCGCACAAAATATACGCGATGGGCGGCTGGTATCGATAGCCGTCGAGGATCTTTCGAAACGCGGTCAGCACCTAATAATAGAATATAACGTGTTTTAAAGATCTACATACCTTCGGATTGTCAAGGTGAAAATCGCTGAGGGCTATGATGTATTCCTTCCCGTGGTATTGGGCCATCACGCGCAGCTTGTTACTGCTTCTACAACCAAAGAACTCTCCCTTACAACTAAGGATTGGATTACCTAAAGCACAGCTTCTCGTCCCCGGCAAACCAGTTGGCATTTCCGTAGGCCTTGCGTGTTTCTTCTGCCCGTTCTGCCGGGACCAGCCCGACGCTCGTTGCCGTGAACAGCAGCGACTGGTAGGTGCCCTGGAATAAAAATAAACTATTATTTTTGTCATTCAAGAATTCGTGGTTGGTACATGCGGACCCCACTGCTACTCGTCATTTTCTTAGCCGCTGAAAAAATTGCTGCAAAAAAATCGTCCGCACTCACTTAGCGGTTACGAAGGGCAGGTGCAAAAATCGTCACTGGCTTTTTTTGGAAGAAACGTGGCCTTTTAGGCATATGTGTCGCTACATTTTCTATTGCGTCAATTGAGCTTCGAAAGAAGTATTTCCGAGAATAGTGAAATCAGAGGAAGTTGTTCGTATGATTTCACCGAACGGGGGAGTCTTAGAAATTTTATCTAGGTTACGCGAAAACCCAACCTCAAAAATCATCACACATCCCTCCGAAAATAGACCCTCATGATACGCGCAATCAGGTGCAAATTCAACCTGAACCGTGCCCGTCAAGTCCTCGAGGTGCCATGTGTCTGCCTAAACATGGTGTTTCAACACCAAGGATAATTCTAGTACCTTTTGTTGCGTCAACATGGCCAAAACGACCGTATGCTCGACCGGATGGGAAATTGACAGCAGGTCTTCGATTTTCTGGAACTTGATCCCCGCAAAGGCAGTCAGTCGAGAAATCCTCTGAACGGAAAGTGCACAAAAATGAAGTCCCTACTTGTTGTACGAAAAGGAAACGTTGCACATAGGCGTCGGTCATTCTTCGGACATCACCACTATCCTGACCCCTTCGTTCGGGCTTTTGCTGAAAGAGTTTCGTTTCTTTGCATTAATACAAGCATAAGCCCCACAACACGATTCGAAAACACACCATAATTTTTGTGGCCGTTGAGTATTCGATGTCTATAAAATCCGGGACATCATACGCTTTGAAGAGAGCGGCAGCACTAAATCATCGTGGAAGGTTGGCGAATTTCACGTTACCGATCACTGCGTGTTGTGACGACTTGACTCATGATGTTCTCCATGTCAGCGAGTGATAGCAAATTTTCCTTCACTAAAAAGATTGGACGTGCGTGAAATAAAAATATCCTTACGGCTCTGTCTACGTGCAACGTCGAATATGCTTTCCAGCCATTTCCGTCTGGCCGGCGCGTCTACTCGAATCAACTTGGCTATCGTGTAATCTTGGGCATCTCTGGAACAAATTTTGTTAAATAAGAAATTGCCCCGATTTCTTACTTCTTCATCATCATCGCATTTACCCGTAGCGCGTCATTCAAAGATTTCCGAACGAGCCGTCGTTCGATCTCGTCGCCCATCTAATCAGTAATCGATTTGTTAGTTTTTTATCGATTTCAGTGCAGACGGTATTGACTCGGTGAAACATGACTTTCAAGTAGCGCCAGACTTTACGAAAGGTTTATCGTCAATAAATAACACAACAGAAACGGAAGAGATGATGGGTAGAATGAGATGGTGGAATTAGAGTGAATCCTTGTAAAATCCAGAAAAATAAATTACAAGGCAATAAGATAATGGGAGTGATTGACTTTTCTTTTTTTACATCGGCGGTCCCATCGGCGGCATCCTGGGTCCTCCAGTTCCGAGAGTCGGCGGCGGAGCGTACATCGGCTGCTGGAGTCCCTGGCGCAAGAGGTACGGGTTAAGCCCAACACCAGGCCGGTAGCCGCCCATTGGAGATGGCATGTAGGGATTCGGCCTCATCACCTAAACGCAAATAAAGAGTTTTAAAAAGTGACAATCTACCGGTTGGCCCATGGCTGCGGGGCGTTGAGCTGCGAATGCCTTCGCGGTGGCGTCGACGAGTTTCTGCGCCTCTTGCTCCATCCATTTCTAAACAAGAGTTTGAGTAGAGCGTCAATTCCCACCTGATAGAATTCGCGGACGTTTTCCTTGTGCTTGCGGCCCTGGTTGTGGGTCTTGCGCACCGACGGCGAATCGTGAGTTAGGAAAGTGTCGCAGTAGTCGCAATAATACTTCGGCATATCTGTTGCCTGAAATGGGTACGTTGAATTGATACCATGACAAGAAATATCCGAGTTTCAGAAAATCAAAACGGCAAGAGCAAACCAACATGAGTTTCGAAATAGTTGACCCGAGCTGAACGGGTGGCAGATACACGAAACACGGGATCGATCGATATATCTTTATCAACTACGCGTATTCGACATTCAAGCACCAAAGTGAAGCGACGTTTCGGCAAAGAGAACCCGTATTAATACAAGCGGAATGGCATTAGGGAAAAATGAGAAAGAAGGAAAGGGACAAAAACAAATATCATTGAGCATCTAAGGCGGCGCGCAACCAGGCGGGCTGCGGGATGTGCCATTTTTGAAGTAATTTTTGTAGGGCAAGGTTGTCGGCATGGAATATTCTAAAAACAGTTATTATATGAGCTGGAAGCCCAAAACAAACCTATTCAACTTCTGCCGCAGCACGTCCGACATCGGGGCATAATGGCGGCCCTTGCTTTTCCCCAGGCACTTGGTTTTACCCTGGGTCAGCTGGAAAAGAGTAGTCTCGCGTAAAATTGGCAGAACTTACGGTGCACCAATAGCCTTTGCTGGGGCTGAAGCGCAAGACGGTGCGATAGTCAAAGGCCGGCATGGCAAGATCGAGAATTAGCTGAAAATTTGCGTATTACCATGCTTTCTGGCTCATCGAATGAAATCCGGCCAACCTTGTTCATAATCTCGGGCGGGCGCTCCTTGAAATTTTCGCCGTCGATGAATAGAAGCTGGGAGGCCGGGAAGAAATCGAGCCAACGATCAATGTGGTGTACATATCTGAAATAGTTTCAATGGTGCAAGATGATTGCTGAATTTTTCTTTTCGACTTACCTGCCTCCAGATACACAACGACTCCTCAATTTCTTCATCGGGCCCACTGTTGCATCTAGAACGACATCGAGATTCTGGGCCTCGACAGCCGCTGGGTCCCGATGGGCCAACATGTGCTAAAAGAGCACTTTGTAAGAACAATTTATATATTGAGAAATTACGAGGCGAGAGAAAGTTTTCAAGTTACCTGGAACCACGAGTATGCCCGAAGTGCAGGATCATATAAAATAACAATAATTTTCGTATTTGGGATCAGCGCGGCCACCTGAAATTTTTTAGACTTATTTATAGAAATCACAACAACCTGTCGAGGAGCCAACGCATTGTCAAAATAAGTAGCGCTCTTTTCGAAAACAAATTGTGAAGGTGAGAACTTGTCGATGTACCTAAATACAAGGTCAGATGAATGATCTAACTGACCATTCGAGCCCATTTCCGTAGTGGTGGCCGCCGAAGAATTGGAGTTCTTCGAATGAGTCGCTGACGGGGACGTTCGAGGAGACATCAGGATGGAGCGACAGGAAGTTTCCGAGGGCACTTGAGCCTAAAAAACGCAAAATATTGAAATTAAGATCACAAACCTGTCTTTTGCGGCCCGACAATCAGAATGTTCGGCAAGGTGATGTTGGAGCAGTTGAAGGCGGGTGGCAGGATGGTTTTGTGCCTTGGATCCACACACGGGTGCTAAAAGAATAAGCTGGTAATGGGATATGTTTTCAAAAACATTTTAAAAACTGCAATAACGCACGCTCCAAACTGGCGTCACTTCTTGCGGAAACATGGCGAAATATCGCTCGGCCGATGTGATCGGATCGGCCCAGCGGAGCTTCAGACGGGTATGGCACCTTAAAAGGGAAGGGTTTCCTCAGCTTAAGAAAAACTCACTTCAGAAACTTGACCAAATTCCGGAAGACCCACAAGGCCAGACGGTCATGTGCGAAATTTTGTTGATGCGTCATGAAGATGGATATCTAAATCAGGAGTCCATGTGTGACCACCTTTCACCTACCGGGTTCAAAAGCACCGACGAGAAGAGGTCGCCACCGTACACGTTAGCAAAGAGCTTGGCCAGCCCATCCGGATAGGTGTGGAAGAATTGGGTGTGGGTGTAGAGACCGCATGTTTGGCGTGGGAGCACCTGAGAATTTCCTTCATAATGACCAGAAAAAGACGAACAACCTTTATGCCTTTGTGGATGAAGCCTCGGCGATCAGATGGTGGGCGTAGGTGGGGATACTCTTCTGTGGCCGTCACCGAAACATTCCAGACCTAAAATGCGTATTTGACGCCTGTAGTATTGACTAACCTTCTTCCACGCATCATATAGTGGAGCGTGGGCCGGGAAAACGCCGGCATGCTGCGGCGAGATCGAGTATGGAAATGGCACCGGCAGCTTCATAGTCTGAGCAAAAAACCTATGAACCACTAAGCGCTGTCAAACCTCTGCAAACTGCTTGTTCTGGCTCATCACCGACTCCAGGTAGGTGTAGTTGTAATCATGAGCGTGATTGTGTCGCCACATGTGACAAAACCAATGGAATTTGGCACCATTTTCTGGAATAAAAGGAAGATAGTCGGTTTACGTTCCGGAAGCCTACCTATAAGCTTTTCATCTCCGAGATCCTCGTCATCATTGCCGTTCCGGAAATAGCTGCCCGAATAGCCGAGCATAAAAGTGAAGTTGGAGATCTGAAATTGATTGGAAATGTTTTGACACCCGATAAAAAGATCACCTCGCTGCGCATCCAGTCCTGGAACTCGATAAGGGCGTCAACGTCCTCGGCCACAATTCGTGTGCCTTTCGCACCGACGAAGATATCGTCAATGTCCACCTGGATCCACCGTTCAAGCGGGAATCCAAAGCTAAAATGAAAGAGTTTTCGGGGAAACTTCCGACTGACCGTCCCTGCGTGGCGAAACGCAGTGAATCCAGAAATGCCATGCGCGTAACCCAAGACGTGATGTTATGGCCAAATAGTATACGCCGCACCCCATCGTCGTTGCCTGAATGGATGGGTTACATTATAACAATCTAGGTTACCAAGATCGCTAATTACAGCAGCACCGCGCCGATGTCCTGTCTCACCTTCCAAGACCGTCTCATAACCGACGGACTCCTAAAAAAGCAAGCAATTTCAAAACAAGTACCAGTTATACCTCGAAAAGGACCCAATCCGCCTCTTCGGCGGGATTGTTGATCAGAACACTTGGCCTGGCGATATAAGGGATAGGCGATGAGGGTGAAAAGGTGAAGGATGTGGCCTAAAATGGTTATTCTGATACAAGGATAAAATCGAATATCCTCGCAAGTTTTTGGCTCGTACCTGTTGGTTTTGCCATATGCTGAGACTCGATCCCTTGAGCTTCGCCCTCTTGAACGTGTCGTTCGGCCGACTCGTCAAAATTCCGACAATCGTAGCATTGTATTCCCGACAATACTTGTCCAATATCTGGCGGTTCCATCTGCGAACCAATATAAAGCATCTTGGTGGAGCATACCTCGGCATATTCAAATACTTGTGGTAGCTTTCAATGATGACCGTCGAAAAGCGTCCCCGTTCGAGAGTTGTTAATAAGGGCAAGTTCTTCGCGAAAACCTCCATTTTGTAGGGATACCTGAAAGTAGTTGCTCCATGCTAAAGTTTAGCTTACTTCGATGCATTTAGAATCTGCGTAATTATTTTGCTGTGGCGCGAATAGATGCTTTCGACCAAGACGAGGGCCTTCGACTCGGTGAAGATCTCGTCCGAAGCAAAAGCTGTGGGCTCGTAATTTTCATCATCCTTAGTCTCATTGCACGGGCAGATGAAATCGGGCAATCTGTAGCAGGGTGTAATCCGCGGAAGATTGCCTACTGTTGCGGAGGAAATCGAGGTGCCCCTGGGTCCGACTGGTCTCCCAATCTGAAGACGAGCAACAAGGTGAAACATAGCCCGACGCCGATCAACAGACGGAAGGACCGGAAGATTCTGTGTGGCGCATAAGGCGCGAACTGAAATAAAAGAAGTTTAGTTTTCGTAAGCGCACAAGCTAGAATCGGGAAGCCAAGTAAAACTCACCGATAACGGCATCTAGCTCATAGTGTGGAAAAATGCGCGGCTGAAAGAGCTTGTCACTAAACAGCTGCCAAGATTGAATACGCACTCTTAGCCTTTAGATAATGGGATGGATAAGCAAAATCCATTTGTGCAAAAGAGCAACTAAAGCGTAAAGTATTTATAACCCGAACGTTTGGTATAACCGGTCATGCAAAAAAACAACAGAAAGACAAAACGGTAGAAAATGTGATAAAAGCATGGTAGACACTATGGAACTATATTAAGGGGGAAAATATTATTACAAAAGTTCGTCCAATCGATTGCGAAGGATGGTCAGATAGGTGGCTTGTCCGGCCCTCTGGAGCACCTAAATTTTTTGATACTGCGCATCAAAGGCAACAAACCCGGGAAGCAAGCAGCTGTTCTTCGAGCAAGTCGAGCAATTGGTGACGGATGCAAGACAGCGTACGGCTCATCACTTCACCGTATGTAGCCTTCAACTGATCACCGCAGATCTAGACGATACGGTAAACTAACAAACAAACAACCGAACCTCCAGTAATTCGTTCAACACCAACGGCGTGGCCAGGTCCACCGGCGGATCGTTGATGACGAACGCCAAGGTGCGCCAAACGTTCTAGAAAGAACAATTGCGTCATATAAAATTACGAAACAACCTTGAATTGAAACCGCTGCACATCCGCCCGCTGCTCGAGTGTGATACGATGAATGTAGAAAAATACGCGTAGTAATGCGCGTTGCGCGTCCATCAACAACTTTCGCGGGTCCGCCTCCATGTTGCCGACTGTCTCGGCCATTCCGGTGCTAAACCGTCACGTAAAGCACACGTTATCTACATGTGCATACCATTTTTCCCGGTCCATTCCCAGAAAAAGACAAGTGCAGAAGAGCCGCCCAAGGACAATCTTCGCAAATGGGAGCTGCTTCATGGCCACCGAGACCAATATTCGGGCGACCACTTCACAAAGATGGACATTCTGTTCGGCCTGTCGCTAAAAAATAAAACGTTATGAAAGAGCCACTGCCAAATCACCAAGAATTTGTCGCAAGCAGTGTTGAGCATATAGAATACTTCAGCGGCCGAACTCAGTTTGAGGCTTTGCTCCTTGGCTCCCGCCAGCGAATGTCCTAAAAAGAAAAATGGTACAACAAATCGAAAACATACCGACGGCAAGATTTCCGAAGAAATTCGCCACATTTACAATCTCCTCGTCTGTCACCTGGCGCTTGATTGTGATGTTGATCTTTTCTTGGACGGAGCGCTTGATGTGGGAGCGTAAGGTTGCCTAAAATACGTGTGTGTAAACGCCAGTGCAGGGAAAACGGCAAGAATTTCAACTTCAAGATCTATAAATTTCCAGTAAACTTCACCCACATCCAGTTGTGTCTCGATAGTCTTCATTCGGGCATCCAACTCGTTCTTATACTGAACCTCCTTCGCATAGTAGTCGAGGAGAGAAGGCTTTATCGGGCTGCGGCGTCCGTCCCGGTTTTCCGCAGGTGTAACTAAAAAAATTCAGCAACTGAATTTTGAAATACCTGGGCTGTTCGTGGCGCTTCTCTCGGGCTCCGAACCTAGCGTTGTGGAGTCTATAAAAGATCGATAATTCGTTGATGTTATAACATTCACTCGAGTAGCAGGTTTTTTTCGCCTCCATATTACAAAACCAAACACACCTAGACACGGCGTCGTCGCGGTCTCCTTGTTCGCCTGGTTGTCAGCCCTTTTATCTAACTGTTCCTCGTTTTTGACATTCAACGCCACATGGTTCTGTTTCTTGATTGAGTCGGCCAGCAGATTGTCGATGGAGCCAAATGAGAAGTCCAACCTCGCAGGCGACGCATTAACGACATTGGAAGCCCCGGAGCTGTTCTTTCCCGGGGTGACGCTTCGGCTGCAGGAGTAGATGATTCCGTGCTCGTTTTTGATTTGGACGTTGGTCGTGCCGACCGGCGAGGACGTGGGCAGCCTCACGTTGCAGCTAGTCAGCACGATCGGCTTGTCGCCGCCATTCGTGGCGCCCTTTTGAGGGTTGACCTTCGGTGCTTCCGGTCTTTCGATCAGCAATTTGACGGCCGGACCGGAAGAGCACGTGACGGCGGTGCTAGTCTCATGAACCTCCTTCTGAATTTAAGAAATAAATTAATGAACACGTCCCGTGGCTTACTTTTTCAACTGGAGATGTCAAGATAACGGGGGAAGTGGGTTCATGGCGAGAAGCTTCGGAATTCGTGAATTGCTTTTCTTGATGTAACGGTACGTTCGCGGAGACTTGCGTCATAGATTTCTGTAAGTAAATGTTTTAAGGAGAAAAATAAGGCATACTGTTTGCGAAGCCGAAGATTGTGAATTATTCAGCGTTTGCGTCAAGTTGAAATCCAGTCCAGGCAGGAGGCTCGCACGAATAGGTGTCGAAGTGAAGGGGCCAAACGGGTCTTGCACCGAAGACCTAAAACACCACTTGTTTCAAAATCATGAAAAACCTGAAAGCTGGAGTAGACGGAAAGGCCCCATGAATAGTTGGATGCTTTGCGACCGGGGAAGCCGTGGCGAATGTCTGAAAACAAAAAGTAGAGATGTGCGCTGGAGCGGTACCGTGCTGGTGGATCGTCCATTTTCCTGACGCTCATTGCGAATGGGATGGACTTTCGCCTAAAGTAACGTTTTTCTGGTGGCCCAAAACAAGAACACCTTTTCTTGGAGAACCTCAGCCAAAGATTTCCGCTTGTACGTAGACCAATCGGCATCGGCTTTTGCCTAGGAAAACCTGACACAAATAATCTCGGACCAACCTTGACGGCCGACTGCTGCAGCTGCATCTTCTCAGCCTGTTTTTTGCCAGCTACCTTGGCACGTTGCAGTAATTCGGAGATCAGATCCTAGAAATTCGAATATTATTCGGGAGATATAATCGCACCAAGCCCTCTTGGCACGCACTCGAACTCGGCGGATGACTTTCGAGCTGGTGCGGCCGGGAGTAAAACGTCGGGATGGGCGGTCCATTTGAGTTGGTGGCGTCGAAAAAAGAACTTTTGAGGTCGACGAGCCCGTCTTCGTCAGACAGCCCGTACCTAAAATGCTGGGGTATATTTATATGCAACGCTTACTTCATCACAGAAGAATGGTGACCCGTTGAAGAAATAAAGAGCGTCGTGCGGTTGATCAAGTCCCTGAAAGAGCAATAGAGAGCAGCACCGATACTCGAAAGAATTTCGCGGCGAGGGCTACACGGTGCAGCTAACGACAACAACCAGCCGCGCGAGACTCGAATGGTCCGTTCCGACCGGGCCAAATCTGTCGTTTTCCAACGTGCTCAAAGTTGCGTCAAATTATAAAATTTCTTTGTTATTTCCCGTGCGAATTCGGTAGCGTTTATTCACATGGGTAATATAGATACACCCGTCAAGACTAAATCGTAGCACACTTTCTGGGTAAACAAATTAAGGGCACACGAATGAAAACGGTGAGTAGGAAGAACGTAGAACAATCAACAGGAACGGAAAGACACAATGTTCATCAGAATGCAAAACCACAGAGATAGATAGATTAAGGGAAATTAGACGAGAGAGTCAATCGTTAATGAATAATGTATTAATTGTTTCGCGGCCACTTTTCGCTGGTCGCCTTCTCGACGTCGTCGAAGCAGACGGCTGTGCCGCCACCGGCCGTGGGGATCACGCGACCCTAGGGCAAAAATTAGAGAAAAAACGGAAACAATTATTACCTTGACAATACTCGTGGCCATGTTTCCTTTTTTGTCGAGGCCCTCATGGGTCAGCATGTACTCCGAGCTCTTCCTGAGGTCACGGCTGCCCGGCGCGGCAGTGGACATCGCATTTGGAGGTAGCTTTGGGCGCAGAATGTTCGAAGTAGGAGTCCGGATGTTGGATTGATGCATGAGGACCCGGGGCACAGATTTCGACCTGCAAAAAAAATGTATGGGATAATATTTGAAACTAATCCGAAAATCCATAAAAGGACAAATTTGCGCACCTTCGCTTGAAGCGCGGATCAAACGCGCTCACACCATTCCCAACGACGAAGTCGTTTTCCCTGGCGGCCGGACGCCGGTTTCCGCCGCTGGTGGACGGTCCCGGCTGGGATTTCGACCCTCCAGTTCCTTCCAAGAACTGGGCCTTCAGCTGGGCGACTGTTGGCGATGCACTCTCGATGACTTCATTCACCTGTAAAAATGTAGGGCCCAGAAAACGGAGCTCACCTTTTTCAGAGCCCGTTGCGTATCCTTGTACTGTTGGCGCTGCAGCTTGTCCTCTTGGCGGCGCTGGGCCTCTCGGTCGACGGCCATTGCGTCTTCTTCTTCGTAGTGGCGCAATCTGGTGCGCAGCGAGACCACTTCACGCTGAATTGAAAAAAATATAGATCGTGAAGATGTTGCTCACGTTGGCTTGGCGTAGCTGGGAAGAAATTCGAGCAAGGGCGGCCTCGTCTTCCTCCTTTTGATTCTTCATTTCGGCGAGCTCGTGGTTGCGGTAGTCGAGAAGACACAGAGCACTCCGCAGTTTGGCTTCAAACGTGAGATCTGAAAGAGTACTGCATATGGATCAAAAATGCATACCCGACTGCTTGAGGCCCTGGAGAAGTGTCGTGTGAGCAGTGTGTCGCTGACCAACCCAGACGCGCATTCGCTTGATGTATTGCGCATCGTCATCGCCCTCGGGCTCAGGCGGCTGTTGAGCCATGTCCGCGATGGAGGAGCCTTGGGAAGACGTGTCGATCCGATCAGCCTGAAGAAAAAATTGTTTTCCAATTTTCCCGCCAAACCTCTTGGTTCCAGCGCACGAAGAAGCGCTTCGGCACCGGCGGGCGGTCCGCGCCACTGTCAAACAGTCTGTCTTCGTCGGCCCGCACTTTGATGGCGCGACTTTCCTCGCCAAATTCGAGTACGTTCAGGTTTTCCTAAATTGAAATAAATAAAGAGCGAAGTGGCAAATATCTACCTGATAGTCGGCAGGCTTGGGGTTGATGCAGAGAATCATTCGCACTTTCCCAGCTCCCTCGAAAAACTGCTTGAAAAGCAAGGTAATTTTCGAGTCGCGGTACGGCACGATTTGGGTCTGGTCGGGGCCTCGACGACGTTGGTTATGGCGCAGCTTCTCAAAGCAGAGCCGGAGGGTCAGCAGCGAGTTGTTGATGGCACTGGCCTCGGCCAATTTCGCACCCGTGTTCCCGGTTCGCTTGGCTCGTTCGCTGCCCGCAAGATCGACGAGCGAAAGTTGGCTAATCACCACCTTCTTAACATCTTGGGTCGGGTAGTAGGACTCGTTAGACCTAAAAAAGGGAACAAATTGGGCTGGCAACCAAGAAAATCACTCGAAAGGCGCCTGCACGAGACGGATGGTGAACACGGAGTGAGGCGGGACGATGATTTGTTCAGCAACGTGTCGGAGACGCGGCGACGTTGCTCACCTAAATCAATTGAATGAAGTTTCGAAGATAAAATAGCTTGAAAGATTTCGCCAGCTCAGGAGAAAAGCTACCTCGCGCTAGCCATTCGATTGCCTCGTCGGCGCTCTCCACCTCGACTTCCGTAGCCCCTTCTACATAAACCGCATTCCGTATGTCCGTGCGCGTGTCGCGCGAAATCGGCTTCCTAAAAAAGTAAAATTTAGCTAGCACGCGAAAACTCACTCTCTGGTATCGTCGAGGAGATCGTAGATGTAATTGTTGTAGACTTCGACAAACGTAATGAACACCGAGCCGACGTAGTGGTCTGAGAACCCGGATACCTAAACAAGAAATTGGGAGAAAAGCCTTTTCAGCGCACCTGTCGGGGTTCAACCTGACGCTCGGTGACGATATGCGTGCTGTAGTCGGGGTCGTTTCGATCATTGGCTCGCCGAGCTTGCGCCGCTTCCTCGGGCGTGCTGACGTAGAAGCCGTTGCGGTTGTCCGGTTGGAAGGTGTATTTGTCGGCCCTAAAAACAGATTGGGAGGCGAGCAAGGAACCTCACTTATTCTTGATGCTGTTGAAGAGAACGTCGACGGTTCTTGGCAGGATGCCGGCTGCCATGGGTCCGCCCGCCATCGTGTACGTTTTGCCGCCGCCGGTGACGCCATAGGTGAAGAGCAGCGAGCTCTTGCCTTGCAGCATATTACGCACGAGGTCGAGCGCCGAACGATCGAAGACACAGCGCTGGTCATCGGTGTCGTCGAACACTTGCGAGAACTTGAAGGTGCGCCCGGTCTAGAAACTTTTATACGTTAAAAGTGTGGAGGTACCTGGCTGCTATCCGCCGCGGCTACTCGAATCGTCGTCTCATCTTGCCATTGCACACACGGCTCGCGCCCGTGATAGGGTGAGAGCCTGCATAGTACTTCTAGCGAATCTTCGGCTGGGCCCCGCTTACCCATCCTGAAAGAGAAAAATAAATCGAGATAGCAGGTATAAAAAGGTAAAAAAAACACAGAAAACCAGTAGAGGATAAGATAACGACGATAATTCAGTAAGAGTTCATAAAAAAAACCAGTAAAGGAAAGCAAATTACCTTTTCGGCCCGATAGGAAGCTACTTTTTTTAGGAAAAACGCTATTTTCTACAGAACTTTCTATAACTAGTCTACTAATCTACTCGTTCCCGTTTCCTTGTCATTCCGCCTAGTTATTTCAAGGAGTCCCGGCAGTGAATAACCGGGGATTACCCATTAAAGGGAAATGGGCCCATTAAAATCAAGGCATCCGGTGTATGAGACACACAGATAACGGCTGCTGCCAAATTATCCGTTTACGATCCCATCCCTCCCGGAAAGAATAATTGGCACTACCAGTTGACCCTACTAAGAAAATATTGATTTCACGATCAGATTACTATATCATGAACTTCGCTGCTATTGTCTTGTCCTTTGTGCTCGGGCTTGGAGTGGTTTTGCTACTCATCAGCGAGGATGCTACGTAAGTTGCAAATTTGACTTTGTTTAATGATAACTAGTTGTTTTTATATTAGTTAGCCGATTTTGATGTGCGCTTTTGTCGTGCGCGCTGCCGTCACCAACGCGTAAAAATATAAAACCAGAAATTTCCTGGTAGGAAGCGTCTAGACAACATTAAGGTTCAGGAAAATGTATGTGCTCCTGAATGGGCGAGAGGTTTGATTTGCGCCTTAATCTGGCTCCCAAAGTAATTGTTTCAATCGCATTCGATCTACATAGAAAGGTCCAAAAATGATAATCCCCGAAGACAATACAAAAAAATGCTTTTACTAACCAAAAACAACTCTTATACAAATTCTAAGCCTACAATTGCACGGAAATCTCCCGAATGAAAAATTTGAACGTGTCAGAACAAAAATGCCTCTAAAACATCGACATCTTACAGGGTTGTTTTTTTTGAAAAATTCAGAGGAGTGATTTTGCAATAGAGACGCTCGGAGGGCTTGAGATATGGAAATTCGAAAGGATTGTGCCTCGCACCATCCGGAACGGTGCCGTTATGCAAATGGCCGGGCGTCGTCTTGCGTTTTTGAATTTCCCGCGGTTCTGTTGCCTCGGGGGGAGGGGCGTCATAGTACACTTTCGGTAGGGCAAAGCGTTTGAACAGAGTGAAGTAACGGAAAAAATGGACCGGATAAATTGCATTAAAATTGTGTGGACTTGAAATAGGTTCGCCGGTCCTTTTCAAAAAAACATTGGACCTTTTAAAAACTACCAAAACATCTTCCTGGTGGTTGTAGATACTTCATCTAGCCTAAACTAGCGAATCACTGGGAAAAATTTGGCCCCCCACTGGTAACAATTCAGAACCAAATTCTCAGTGTGTCACTCGACGAGGACGGCATGACCACGACGGCCGGCAGAATTATGAAAGCTGTCGGCATAATTTTAATGGTTATAGGGACCATCGGGTTTGCAATAACACTCGTGGATGTGGTGAGTTGTACCTAATTATAAACAGATACTGGTATCTCAGGTTCGCCGAGCCCATCGGCGCTTGTCCCAGGGCGAGAAGGGGAAGCTCGAGGAGCAAATTCACCGGAAAGCCACGCGATCAGCCACGCAGACACAGGTTTTCAGCGAAATCCTGCAAAATTTGACCTTTTTAGCCTCGAACGACATCGATAGCTGTCATCGAAACGAACGGGCATATTGTATAAAGTGTCACTTTACTGACTGTAAATAGAATAAAGTCTTTTAACGAGTTTATTGCCCTTCTTTTGCGGTCGTTGCTCCTTAGGATCTAATTTTACAAATATAAATAGCGTCCGTATTTCTAAATGCTTTTCACTATTCCTGAACATGAAAACTTTACAAATTTTATTAAAAAAATAGCAGAAATATCGATTTCCTAGCAAAAAAAGCCGATTTTGATCAAGAGAAATGTTTTTTAGTTTTTAGATATTTTTCCTAGTTGAAATACAGTTCTATATTACTAAAAATACTATTAAAACACTGTCCATTCAGTTACTGGGCCTTTCTACACCTCTAAAAAAAAGTTCGGTAATCCCCCGATAATGCGAAAGAACTAAATAATTAATATCACGCTACTAGGCACTTCTGGACCAATAGACCCCCCCCCCTCCCCGATAATGCAAAAGTACCATTTTCCCTCGTTACTCGCTTTCACGATGACGTAAAGATGGACAACTTTCAAACGGCGATGCCAGACCCTTGGATGCCGACAGCGCGTCATTTTGGTCAAGTTTTATTTGCTCATTTGAGTGGTGGGAGGCGTATCCTTATCGCGAATATGGATGTCGGGACATTGATTGCTGACACATTCGTTGACCCTAGCCTATTCAAGCTACAAGAAATATTTGGGGAAATTTTGTGTGAATGTCGCTCACGCCGCTGAGGAGACCCGGATCTTTAGGGCTGAAAGATGGGAGCGCGCCCACACTATCGCCCACCTCCATTGCTTCATTGTCTAGGTGAAGATTTGGTACAATTCGGATAAGCGGGGGGGAAAATTTTAGGCGGGGGGGAAACCGAAATTTTTTCCGCGCAAGCCTATATTTTTATAGAAATAGTGGAAGTGTTTCTAAATTGTTTATAGCTATTCCTAAACATAAAAACTTTACAAAACTGAATTAAAAAATTTAATTTTAGGTCGAAAAATCGATTTTTTCGGCCCAAAAATGACCAAATTTTCGACTTTTTCAAGCGTTTTTCTAACTTTTTAAAAAGTTTTTCCGATTCAAATAGGCTTAAATTTTGCTAAAAACAATGTTAAAAAACTTTATATTTGATTACTATCCCCACCAGGGCCGACAAAAAAAAAGTTGGTTTCCCCCCCGCCTAAAATTTTCCCCCCCGCTTATCCGAATTGTACCGAAGATTTTTTCGGTTCTGAGCTGTTAGCGGGGGGGGGGAATTTCCGCCTGGTAATCCCGTACGGCCCTATAACCAACAATCAACCATTTCTATAGCATTTTAGCAGCTTTTAGCAAAATCGCAAAGTTGCTAGCAATCGAAAACTCCTAAAAACTACATAAAATCCATGGAAAATGGGCGGAACTGGCCGAAAAAGGTGAAGATGTCCATATTTTCAAGGACGAATCGAAAATTTATAATTTTTTTGTCAAAGAAAAACCACTAAAAACACTATGAAACCGCACTGAATTGCGTAATAACAAAAATAACCTTTTAAAAACGTAACGTAACTTTTAAAAGACTATAAAAACAGTCGGTAAAACAAACGATAAAGAAACCGCTAAAAAGTCCGAATTTTAGCCGGATCTCTTCAATCACCGGCCGTGAATGCGAGCGCTGTGGTGGGGCTTTTGCCAGCGGCGAGCCCCATTTTCGGGTCGACCACACGCTGTGGCACCAGGAGTGCTTCAAGTAAGGTTTAAAAAAATAGCCGATTAGCCTCCCAGATGTGCGCAGTGTTTCCGCGACCTCGACGGTGAGGTCTACTTCCGGTTCGACGATCGCATCTATTGCCTTCACGATTTTGAGAGGCTCTATGCTCCGATCTGCCAGCGTTGTAGTGAGTTAATTGGGTTGCGTTTCGGCCCTGGTGCATTATCGGTGGGGGCGTATGTCCAGAAATTCCTAGGAACGTAATACTACGGATTTTAATATTGTTTTTAGTAAATTAAACGTATTTCAGACGAAAAATAATCTAAAAACTTTTGCAATTTGTGAAGCTTTGCCGAAAGCTCTTGTTTTTGCCTATTTAACGAAGGTTTTTGGATTTTGTAGAAAATTGCAAATTTTCGCGTCTAGGAATAGTGTTCGCAGTGTTTTTAGTACAACTTAGCGATCGTTCAAGTTCAAGACTAGCTAAAAACGTTAAAAAATGTAAGAAATTTGGGTTTTAGTCGAAAAAGGCATTGTTTTGGATTTTTTATAGAATTTTGTAGAGTTTTTAGGTTGAAGAAGAGTAAAAACTAGTTAGAAATGCGTCCTCTATTTCGACAAAAGTTGTCCCCCCGATAATGCATAAGATTCCTAAATTTTCTTGAAAGTGTGCTTCCTTCAGAAAGCCCTGTTCTAAACGGCCACGTCATCAAGGCGGCCACCGGGTCCTACCACGCCGAATGTTTCAGCTGCGACGGGTGCTTGCGGGATCTTGATGAAGGCGTCTGGGTCTCGGATGGATTGTCAGTTATCTAGACCGTACTCTAACGTTTTTTAGGATCCTCTGCTTTGACTGTAAGGAAGCGAAACGCCAGAATCCAGAATATATTTGTGTGCAGTGTACGAGCCGAATTAATGCTTGAGATTCCCTCTAGGTAAACACATCATCGAGCCGGATGAGTTGCTGAAGCTGCACCACGACTGCTACCACGCCTACCATTTTGAGTGCACCACATGCGAGTGGGTTTCGTTTTCAGAGAGATAAGGTCGAAACAGCCATTTTCCGCGCGTAACCGGTTGCTTTTACGGTCTTCGTCCCTTTACAAAGGTAATTTTTCGGTTTTTTTTAGGCAGACACTGACGTCGACTGGCCGGCGATTGAATGAAAAGTGGTACTGTGAGCGGTGCTATGATTTACAATGCCCGGTACGCACGCTCTAAGTGATTACGGTACTTTTCGGCCTCAAAAGTCGCCATTTTCGACAATTATGATGATTTTATTGCGTGTTTTTATCCAAAAAAGCGTGTAAAATGCTATAAAACGGATTATATGTCGCTAAAGGGAAGCCCGGGATTACTGAGGTTAAAAATTGGTTTCCGTCCCGTTTACCACCTCCCCCCGCTGATGGTTCAGTACCAATATTTGGGCCCGGTGTTCAATAGGCTATACGAAATTTACGGGCTCAAATTTTTTTATTTAGAGCTGCTACGAGTGCAAACGGGCCATCGACCCCGATCAAGAGCGTTCTGTGGCGGCTATGGGGCATCATTATCATGTTGAGGTAAAGATTTCTAGAGAAACGTTGGTGATTTCAGTTTTTTAACGGATATAAAAACTTTTTTTCAGCATTTCCGATGTGCCCGCTGCCTCGTACCCTTTCACGGGAAGCCATTTTTCGTCAACCGCGAGCTGCCCTATTGCCAGAAGGACTACATCGAGGTGGGGGCACAAAATATTAAAATATGCTTAATACTCACTTTACAAAAATCCATAATTCGGACTTCTTCAGAATTTCGGGGAGAGATGCTTTGTGTGCTCGCGCGGACTCACCGGGGAATCCGTGCGAATTTTTAACAAGGTAAAGTCTAGTGCCAAATATAGTTACAATTGGATCTTTCGCGTTATCGGGGGGGGGGCTTTTTCTAGAAGTCCAGAAATGCATATTAACGTAATAGCTAGTGCTTTAATAGTGTTTTAGTACAATTCAACTCTATTTTAAAAAGCAAACTATATTTTAGGTGAAGAAAACAAATAAAAAATGAGAAAAATTTTTTAGGTGAAATTTTTGTCGAAAATCGGCCATTTTTTGCCGGAAAATCTCTATTTCCGTGATTTTAATAAAAAATTATAAAGTTTTTACGTTTGGGAATAATCAAAATTGGTTTAGAAACATTATCAAAAAAATTGGATTCTTGGAAAAAGTTGGTCCCCCCGATAATGCAAAAGAACCAGACATAGCAAAATTTCTTTAGGGTTGGTGTAAGGAGTGCTACGCATGCCACTGTTGCCATCGACGCTTGAAGCCAAAGTAAGCGTAGTGTATCGTAGCGTAACGGAAGGAACGTGCGGAATAACTAGTACAGATCGTTCAGGAAAAGGACGCTTTTTAGAGACAAAGTGCTCGAGGAGAACATGCAGCCGGTGTGCAAAAAGTGCATGGAGAGGAAGATGTTCCAAACGATGCTCAAGGAGAGGCAAAAGCGGATTGCCGAGGAGGAGAAGCGCAAAACTTGAATTATCATCTTGCTTTGAATAAAAGGAAACACTGGAATGAATGCGAAACAAACCCGAGAAAGCTGGTGTAATAGAGATTTCCCCCGTACTCGTATGGTAACCCTGGGCACGCTGGCGGAGTGTGAACGGCTGCTGGGTAAGTTTTTAGCTGGTTTTTCCCAGAGGTACTTGTGAATTATTGGGAGGATTTTTTGTATAAGTCAAGAAATGTCTAGTACCATATACACTGCTGGACATAATTTTGGGTTCACCCAAAATTTTCGGATTTTCTCGCACAGCAATGGGGCTCTCGCCGCCCGCTTTGAGTATAGGGTTTGCCGAGTATATTCCTATCAGGGCTTCGAAGGAAAACCGCGAAGAATTTTTAGTTTTTGTTTAAATGGTTTTTTTGTGAAATTACCATTTTGGCAAGTGGCCATAATTTTGGGTTCACCCACCCAAATCTGCCAAAAAAGATCTTAAAAACGCAAATTGGTTTACGAAATGAGTTAATTGGTTAACAATAAGCATAATTGAATGCTTGAACGCTTGAAGACCCCGCTTCACGATGTTGAGGATCGGGTTATTGGCAAGTTTCTGATCGCCGGAGCCTCGGCTCTCGACTAACGCATTCTTTAGCGACTGGACTTCTCGGTAGCAGTGATCCTTGATGGAAAATCATGTCACCAGGTAGCCTTCACAGGTTTTTCATCAATGCGTGCTTGAGAATTAGCTGACAGCTCAAAAAGTGAAATTCCGGGCATTGCAACCATAACCATGGGCGTTTGCTGACCGGAATCCAAATCTGAAGCTTCTGGAAAATGAGGTTCTGCCCCGGATTCTGTCGGAACAATAACGGACGGAAGCCTTCCAAAACCTACTCGTACATATTCGGCTTCAACTTCTTGAGCATGGGCTTAAAGCTGACGCTTTGGGCCGAGATTTCGTGACTCAGTCCCGCGCAGCCGATTTCGTGGATTTTCGTGGAAAAAAGTTATTGTGATGAGTCTGATGGTGCGCCGTTTGGCTGAGATGATCACATGACAGCAAAATGTGGTGGTGTCCCAACTAAATTCTGAAGGATGAGGCGTGGCGGACTGTGCTAGGAGTCCAGTTTTCTCACGGCGCAGTTTTAAGTTCATGCTCAAGATGCTGAAGCCGAATCTTTACGCGCAGGCCTTGGAAGGCTTCCGCCCGCCATTATTCCGGCTGAATCCGGTCCAGAACCGCATTTTCCAAGAATTGAACGCGCGGATTCCGGTCAACAAACGGCCAAGTTTGCGGCACAAAAGTCTTAGAATTTAATTTTTTGAGCTGTCGGCCAATTCTCAGCGACGCATTGATGAAAAACTGTTACAGCTACCTGATGACGTCGTTTTGCATCCATAATCACCGCTACCAAAAAGTCCAGTCGCTAAAGAATGCGTTAATCAATACCTGAGACCCCGGCGATCTAAAGCATACCGATAGCCTAATCCTGGGCATCGAGGAGGTGGTTTTTAAATGTTCAGACATTGAGTTTCACGTATTTTTCCCAAAGCCCAACAATAACCCACATCGCGTTTTTCGGGATTTTTAGCGGCTTTCCCAAGGTGAACCCAAAATTATGGCCACTTGCCAAAATGGTAATTTCACAAAAAAACCATTTAAACAAAAACTAAAAATTCTTCGCGGTTTTCCTTCGAAGCCCTGATAGGAATATACTCGGCAAACCCTATACTCAAAGCGGGCGGCGAGAGCCCCATTGCTGTGCGAGAAAATCCGAAAACTTTGGGTGAACCCAAAATTATGTCCAGCAGTGTAGAAACATTTCATAGCTTTTAGTGATATAAAAAGGGACATTTTGGACGAAAAACCGTTCTTCCTGCATTTTAACGTAATTTTGTCATTTTGTACGCTTAGGAATGGTAAGAATAGTTTCAACTTCTGCAAAGAATATTAAAAAATTACATCCTAAGGAAAAGCCCTTGCCCCCCCCTCCCGATACTGCCAAAGCACCCGGCAATCCATTCAGGTGGTGGCACGAGTGCGAAGGAAGCGAAAAGTCCAGCGAAAAGCCCCAAGTCGCACAGCTCGAAGGAGGGCTCAAAGGGTTCAAAAAGGTGGCGGAAACCGGGATAATTTGAATTGGAAATTCCAGGGAGCGTTCAAACAAAACGCCGACGAAAACCCCGTCGAAGACCCCGAATCGTACCCCAAACGACGCACCCAGCAAGACCCCGGAAAAGTCGTCGAAGAAGGAGTCGTCGAAGAGGGAATCTTCAAAGAAGGAGAACTCCAAGAAGGAATCCTCGAAAAAGTAGGGTTTTGAAGCTCTCTCGTTCTCTCTCCCTCTCTCTCTCTCTCTCTCTCTCTCTCTCTCTCTCGCTCTCTCGCTCTCTCTTTATCTCTAAAATTCAGGGAATCTTCCGACAAATCGAAAAAGGCCATCGAAAAGACGCAAGGCTCGTTGGACTCGCAGAAGAAGAAGAACTCATCCGACGAGAACATGAACAAGTCGAAAAAGTTGGCGTTGGCCTTGGAATAGATTTTTCGCACCTCCCCCGCTAACAGTCCAGTACCGTTTTTGATTTCGCATTCCGTTGTTCAATTCCAGAGGCGTCGACCTGGACAAGGGGCTAAGCCCACCGAAGAAGAATGGAGACGCCTTCGACCTCGAGAAGATCAAGGCGGCCGCCGCAGCAGCAAAGCCTCGATCCCTGGTTTCATTTACACGGTCGGATTCAAACCCCCTGTTCCAGATGCAACAAATCGCCGTCGGCGACGAGTTCGACAAGACGCAGTGGGAGAACACGGAATGGAAGGAGGACCACCGGAAATGGGTGGCAGGGGAGAAGAGCAAGAGCAAGAGTAGCGCTTTTTTGGCTAGGCCATAATTTTTGCACAGGCTTGCCCCTCGAAGCGCCTCCGGAAGCGGCGGCTGCCGGCGACGTCCCCGGCGAGGTCTTCCAGCAGCAGCGCGACCGCGGCGCGTACCTCAAGGATACGCCCTGGATCTCGTTCGCCTTCTTCTTCGTTGAAGCGGTGGGTGGTGGTTTGGGCCTGTTGAGCATGAGCCCTCTTTCAGAGTCTAATCGCCGGCTGGGTGTCTGTGGCGTCGGCGCTGGACTGTGCCCCCGACCATTCTGTCGCCCTGTCCGCCTTCAACGCCATCGTCATGTTCATCTCGATCATGCTGCTCTTCGGCTTGATGGTAAGCGCTGAATTTGGGGCAACACGAGATTGTTTTTTAGTATTCGGAAACGTAAAAAAATAAAACAACAAGTTGTTCATATCCAGGTGACGCGCACGCACGTGGAGGAGCGACAGACGGACGGCCGGTCGCTGTATTTGATTCCCTACGCGTGGAAGCTTTTGGTAGCGTAAATCGCGATATACCTAACGTTTCGCCTAGTTCTTCGCGCTGCAGTGGTTGCGGGTGTGCCTGGCGGTGGCGCTGATCGTGCAGCACGCGCTCGTCTGGTCCAACCCGACCCGGCTGACCGTTGTCATTGTGCTCGCCTCGGTCCAGGTGAGCCGCAGCAGGCGGCAAAAGCGATTTCCTATCGGAATGCCGAAAGTCATAGAACCGAAATTCATATGGTTTAAGTGCAGTTTACCCCCCCCCCCCATCTACCGTATCTCGGCTCTCTGTTCATCTACAGGTGTGTAAACTATACCAAAATACTCGTCAGAGCAAGACGAACATTTTGGTATACATTACACATCGGTAGATGAACAGGGAGCCGGGAACAAAAGTTGGGTGCCGGCTGGGGGCGGGGGGGGGTAAACTGCACTCTAAGCCGTCATTTTGCCTGTCATTATTTTGGCGTTATTTTGAATGCCAATTGCTTTTAAACAGCTTTTTGGCTGTCGGCATTTTGGCGTTTTCCCGTCCTAAACCCTTGTTTCAGTTCCTCCTGACCGTCCTCCAGACGCTCTACTCGTTCAACAAGCGCTTCACGCTGGCCGATTGCAGGGACTAACCGGGCCCCCAATCGGCCTCCAGAAAAAGCGATAATTGACTCTACTCGTGCTGTTTAAAAACCGTGCATTCGGAAGCAAGGAATAATTCGCCCACAGAATAAATGATTTGACCCTGCTGGTGGATTTACGGCGGCACTTGAGCCTACAGACTGGCACGAAAAATGCGTCATTGATGGGTTACAACGCAATTTGCATAAAATCGTTATCCAGCTCGTTTTCAAAAAATTGGCATAAAATTGTCGTTGTTCCCGCTAGTTTTCATTAAATTTGGATAAAAAAATTACCTGTTGCTCGTGTTCGCGAAATTTGCATACATCATAGTCATTCTTGCTCGTTTTCATCAAGTTTGCGTAAAACTTGCATAAAATTCTTGAATTTCCTGCTTTTTTATCAAATTTGCACAAAATTCTAATTTTTGCGTCCAATTTCATCAAATCCTCGAGGTCCTGAAGTCATTTACGTGCTTTTCCATCATCCAATCGGTGAGATGCTGCTCAGCCGCCTCGTACAGGTGCGCCGAATGCAAATTAGCGAATAAAATGGATACAGCTCTTGGTGTCGGTGATGCACGTGATCACCATCATCTGCAATGCGCTGGCGGTGGTGTGCGTGGTGTTCTTCTGGGTCCACGATGGCAAATACAGGTGTGTAGCGTAGCCGGCCGAGGTTTTCTCGCCTGCTGTATCACGCCTCGGTGTCCTGCTACCGTGCCGTAAAGTATATCAAAACGTTCGTCTTGGCGGGCGAGTATTTTGGTAGACTTTACAACGCTGTAGACCAACAGGAGGCTGAGATACGGTAGAGAACTAATAATTTTCAAACTGCCAAATGCCCCCCCCCCCATCCGACCTTTTGTATCTCGGCTTCCTGTTCATCTACAAGTGTGTAGTTTATATCAAAATGTTGGCCTTGGCCTGATGAGTATTCTGGTATACTTTACAACTTAGTAGGACAACGGACAGCCGAGATACGGTCTATTTACCAATACCAAATTCCAGACTGGACTGCCCCTGCTACCTGGCCATCATGCCGCAGCTCGACTTTGGCCCCAACTACCCCAGCTGGAGCTATACGATTCACGAGCAGGAGCTCGTCGAATATGTGGGTACTTTTTAGCAATGGACCCAATTTTTCGTGAATTCCAGGGCGAAGAATGCCTGCAGCAGACCCCGGCCGAGCATAGCGAGGTGCTCGACTACTTCCAGAGCTCGGTGCTCAGCCGTTTTACGGTGGGTTACTGTATTTACCCTGTGATGTCACGCTACGGCCCCTAGCTTGGCAATGTTCTATTTAACGGGGCGGAAAACCAATAAACTTCGGTTTTTGGGTTCTTTTGCACTATCGAGGGGTTTTTTGTCCGGAAATTTCTTACAAGTATAGTTTAGCATTTAATCGTGTTTTGTAGGATTTAACTATATTCGAAGTAGAGAAATATAAATCCAAGACTTTGAAATCGCGGTCGAAAAATCTATATTATTTTGGATTTTTAATAAAATTTTGTAAAACTTTTTGTTTTTATTTACGCAAAATGTATCTTTTAAAATTTTCCTCTGGAAAGTCTCAAAAACTAGCTTAAAAATACGATATTTCGATTGGTAAACTATCTGGAAACCCCAGACCATTTTGAAATTTTTGGTCGCAAAATCGATATTTTTGTATTTTTGATAAAAATTTGTAAAATTTACGTCTAGAAATCATAAAAAACCGCCTAGTACAAGTTTTTCTACATATATGAAAAGAATTGGAGCCTAAAGTAAGGAAAAGTTGCAGCCCCCCGATAACGTAAAAGTACCGTTTTTGTAATTTTGCGTTTTTGTGAATGAAGTTATCCTTTCTAGGACTTTGATAGCGCCGAGGGCCGCCCGAATTTCGTCGTCAACTCGACGGTCCGCGACGACAAATCACACGCAGATCGCAACCCGCTGCACACCATCATCACCGACATGTTCGTGCTGAGCAAACAGCCCGAGACGTACGACCCGGCTTCTAACTATCTCCATCCCTACCTGCGCCGGCGTACCAGCGGCACGCTGCGTCAATTCATCGCCAACTTCCTGGAGCGCATGCCGTGGGTCTTCTGGGATCGATGCAGTTCTTCTCTCTTAGCGAGGGGGCGGACAGCACATTTTTATGTTTCCGTCTTTTGACCTTTTTCGGACCTTTTTGGCATCTTTGATCAACCAATGAAAAGGTTTTGTGGTAGATTTCGAATAGCCTTTTGGAGCTTTCCCATTATCGGGGGCGAAATTTTTCTTACAATTTTAGATTGGGCTAGTATATAAAGGTTTTTATTTGGTTAAATTTGGCTATATTCCACGCGCAAAAAACTATTTACAAAAGTTTGGAAAATGTCGTCAAAAATTCGAAATTTTTGTCGAATTAAGTCATTTTTGGGTCAAAAATCTATATTTTTTTGTAACTTTTGCCCAAAATTTGTAAAGTTCGTGATCAAAATACATGTAAACGTCCCTAAAACCGCCATTTAGCCGCTGTCGCTACGCCGAGAAGCTCTACTTTACGATCTGGCTCATCATCGGTGGGGTTTGAGCAGCAGCCATGAGAGGAGCCGTTTTTAGTGCCTATGATTGCCATCGTCGGCGTCATCTACGCATTCAAAGGGGTCTTCATCTGGGAGCTCAGCTATCAACTCGTGGCTCTCGGCACGTTGGTATGGGTTCGAGCTCCTTGAACCGTAGAACCCGAATTCTATCAGTTGGAAAGTAGCACTTACCCCCACTGTCTTCAGACGCTTGCGACGGCCGTGTACATCTACTGCAGCAACCTCTACTCCCGGGCGCGGGTCGATATCGCCTCGATGTTCTTTGTCGGTTGGGAAAAGCGTATCCGCGAAATCAACTTTTCGCATTGTTTAGTGGCGATCGGCATCCACGTGGTCGATATGCTCGCCCTCCTGCTCCACATTCTCTGCTTCAAGCACGAGCAGAAGGTGCTCCGGCGTAACTATGGCGTCAAGCCGAAGCAGGTCTAGGCCAGGTACCATTTTCAGGATTGCATTAGTATAAGGCTAAACTGCAGCTATCTTATCTTGTATCTTAGCTCCCTGCTGGTCTACAGGTGTGTAATGTATACCAAAATGTTCGCCTTGCTCTGGCGAGTATTTTGGTATGCTTTACAACCCTGTATGACAACCGGAAGCCGAGATACAGTAGGTGGGGACGGTTGGAGGTGGGGCATCGGCAGTCTTACCCATTATAAAGTCCATTTAACAGCTACGAGACAACGTCGTTTAGTTCCTCCTGAAGCCGATGGTCTCCACGACGCGCACCTCTTCCGGAAGCCAAGAAAACAATCTTCACACAACCCCCTGTTACCATGTCTGCCCACCACTTCTTCCCGTCTTTCTATCCCCCCGCGTCCTTCTGTGTTGTGCATTTCCTGTCAATAAACGTGGTTGGCGCAGTATTTGAGTACATACCGATTTTCACAATTAAAACGCAAATCTTGTAAATTTCTGGGAAAAAAAGATTCCAAATAGGGCTTTTCGCCCCAAAATCAGTCTTTTTTCCTTATAGGTCAAGGCTGGCCTAATCATCAAATACAAAATGTTTCTATACTATTTTTAATAAGTTTTAACTAAATTAAGGTAGAAAAACTCCGAAAAAAGAATAGAAAAGTGTTTGAAATGGTCGAAATTTTGGTCATCGTGGGTCGAACCCCCCCCCCCCCCTGCGAATACTCAAGTGCCGAATTTTGCATTCTAAAAACCTTCCCAACTATAAGTTTTATGAATATTTCACTGGTCCCCAATCCTACACACGTCTGCCCCGGTCCCGCTATTGCGCGCCCCCAGGCATACGGTACCCCGCGCCCCACCCCCACTCCCCAGTGCCCTTTCAAACGGTTTTAACTTATTTATACAACCCTGGGGAGGTTTTTAATAGTTTTTTAAAGCTAAAATGTGCAAGTTCCTGAGGAGAACTGTCGTTTAATAACTTTTTTTGACAACAATTACTTTTGAACGAAAACACAGTGGTGGTAGGTTTAGTGCTGCTAGGTTCATAATAAGAACAACTTTTTGTTGGCTATAACCAAGGAAACTTTGAACCGGAAGTTCCTAAATTTGTTAACATATCGTTTTCCATGGTTTTCTGTTAACAAATGTCTATCGTTGACCGCTTCTCGGGATCATAAGATACTCTGAGGGGATGCAACGTCAGTTGATGAATTCTTCGTTGTTGTCACGATCAAGCAACTCTTTTCAAAAGCAGAATCATTTACGAAGCAACCTAGCTTTGCACCGCCTGGTGCCGATTTTCAAAACTATATTGATCACGTAAGCAGAACCGCCTACTATAAATCTTGCAATGCTAAAAACACGTGTTACTATTTGCAGAAAGCATCAGCAACACCGTCAAATGTTTCCTAAACCCAAAATCAAAACATCACCTCCGTCCGAAGCCAGTACTGACAAAATTGAAGGCTAACAGCTACAATTTTTCTAAATTGAGCACTTTTTTCCTATTCGAGACCCTACCCCCTAAAAGTCGTCAAAATATAGTTCTCCTCAGGAACTTGCACATTTTAGCTTTAAAAAACTATTAAAAACCTCCCCAGGGTTGTAGAAATAAGTTAAAACAGTTTGAAAGGGCACAGGGGAGTGGGGGTGGGGCGCGGGGTACCGTATGCCTGGGGGCGCGCAATAGCGGGACCGGGGCAGACGTGTGTAGGATTGGGGACCCGTGAATATTTCTTCCACCTAACATAGCTAGATTTCACTAAAAATAATAAACTAAACTAAATATTAAGCTATTTTTATGCATAGCTGCCGAGACCAACCTATAGGGAAAAAAATCGGCTGAATACGAGATGACGGCTTAAGTGCAGTTTACCCCCCAGCCCAGCTCCTCAGCCATACGTCCTATTAATGCGCCGAGTATCTCAAAATGTTCGCCGTGGTCGAAAACCCCTGGAAAAGTTGTTTACTTGCGCCAAAAATTGTTAGAAAATTTTTTACAAAATTTTGAAAGTTGAAAAGATTAAGCCGCTATGCATCAATATACCAGGAGTCAAAAACTCAAATATTTTTGTTTTCCGTTATTTTTTCGACCCAAGCGTACTGTAGGCTTATTCTCCAGAGCAAGAGCTACATTTTGGTACCATTGACAGCTCTGTACGACTAAAGATAGCCGAGATACGAAAACTCACTTTGGAACAGCAAAAATTAACTAAAGAAAACCCAGACTTATAATTCTTATAAAAAATTTTCTAACAATTTTTAGCGCAAGTAAACAACTTTTCCAGGGGTTTTCGACCACGGCGAACATTTTGAGATACTCGGCGCATTAATAGGACGTATGGCTGAGGAGCTGGGCTGGGGGGGTAAACTGCACTCTAACCGAGATGACCCCGCGTACTGTATTTCGGCTTCCGGTTGTCATACAGGGTTATAAAGTGTACGAACATACTCGCCAGGCCAAGAAGAGCATCTTGGTATACTTTACACACCTGTAGACCAACAGGGAGCCAAGATACAGTAGGCGGGGGCCGGTCGAGGAGCTATCTGCATTTCGCCGGAACAAGATTTCCATAACCGTAAAATTGCATAAAGTTTTATCGCCTGCCCGCTTCCGCTCCGTAATTGGCATCATTCGCGCCACGATGCTGGGCTGGAGGGTTTGCCGTTTATTTCCAGCCATCAAATGTAAATTTCAGTTGCTAGTCTCCGTGCTGAACACGGTTCACCTCCTTGTCAGCGCCATCCTGCTGACGGCTTCGATCATGTCCTTCTTCGGGGACAAATCATCGACGTCTTCGAGGTAATCGAGGTCTTTTGCAGCTGAGAGGTCTTTTCCCCTCTTCAAACACTGCATTTCCATATACTTTTTTAAAAGAAAATCAGGAAAGAAAAAGAAATAAAGCTTAAACAAAAATTGGTTTGTATTGGGGGCGACAGCCAACCCTTTCCCCGTCGTAAGCGTCGAAAGGGGCGCCGCGTTGCCCTGTTCCCGGCAATACTATAGTTGCGCGGTAACAATAATTTGCTTCTAAAATTGGTATTTGTTATTTTCTTCTAAAAAGTATATGGAAATGGAGTATTCGACGAGGGGAACATTTTCAGATACTTCACGCATTAATTGGACAATTTGGAGGCTAATGCTGGCTGGGGGGAGGGGTGAAACTAGACTTTAGACTCTAACTAGACTCTAGCCTGTTCAAAGCGAGTTTTCGTATATTAGTCCCCAGTGGAATTACAGGACTGGCAATGGTATCAAAATGTAGCCTTTTTCTTTTCTTTCTTTATTTTTTCTTCCTTGATCTGTAGAGTAAGCCGACAATAGGTTTCAGTCGAAAAAAGCCAAAAATAAATATATGTGTGTGACATTGAAGCATGGCGACCTAATCTTTTCAAATGTTATCGTAAACAAAAATTTCTAACAATTTTTGATGTCAAGAAACAATTTTTTTCATAGTAGTTCGACCATGGCGCCAATGTCGCCCATGCCGACCATGCCAAGTTTGCTTCGCCAACAATGCGACTGCTATCTGGCGATTGCCCCCCGCTGGACTCCGGACACCTTTGCCAGTACGACGGCTGTCTCGCGTGAACAGGAACAGGAATATGTAGCGACGCCGTTGGCTGGTTTGCAACTGAGGACATTTAGGCGGCGCGATGCGTCGGCTACGACATTGGTGACAAGAAGGATTTCCTGGACAAATTCAACAAAGACCTCGACGCAAAGGTAAAGTGGCTGGGCTCCCCGTTATCCTGCCCGGTTGTAAAGTATACCAAAAGACTCGCGAGAAGGCGAACGTTACACACTTGTAGACGAACTGGGGCTAAACTCCAGATACCCCCCCCCCCCCCCTCCCCCCAGCCGACCCCCACTTACCGTATCTCGGCTCCCTGTTCATCTACAGGTGTGTAAACTATACCAAAATACTCGTCACAGCAAGACGCACATTTTGGTATACTTTACACACCTGTAGATGAACTGGCGGTCGAGATACAACTTGGGTGCCGGCTGGGGGGAGGGGGGGGGGGTATCTCGAATCTTACCCGAACAGGGGGCAAATATACAAGTTACCAAGTTCCAAGCTGATCAGACCAGGGCCCTCGATAACAGCTCCCCGCTAACGGACCAGAACCAAAATGAGCTCTTGCTTTAGGCCGAGGGGTCGCAGGCCATCACGGGATTCAAGAAAGCCAACCTGATGAAGGACCCCGCGCGCACACGCATAAGAACCCGTTGATGCCATCCATTGAGAAATTCTGGGAGGCCCATGATGACGACACGGGGCCGGTGGACAAAGCAGCCAAGAAACTACTCTCCTACAGCATGTGGGCTTGAGGATTTGTTGGACGAGGATTTGCTGTTACGCCCTGTCCCTAATTTTGTTCCTCGGCTTCCCTTCATCCTACAAGGCTACAAAGTATACCAAAATGTGCGCCTTGGACTGGCGAATGTTTTGATATACTTTACAACTCTGTAGAATAACGAGTAACCGGGAAACATTAGGTTAGTTGCGGCTGGGGATCACCTGGACCTCAGCCATATTTTTGGAATATTTGGTGCTTTCGCATTATCGGTGAGAGGCCCAACTTTTTTGGAGCAGTTTATCGGTGGTATGCACAGTTTAGATATATTTTAAGTGGAAAAAAAAAACAATAAAAAACACCATTTAGAAAAAATTTTCGGGCGAAAAATCGATATTTTGGAATATTGGATCCTTAGAAAAAGTTGGTTCCCACCGATAATCCGAAAGAACCCAAAATTTGTTTCGCGCGTTTTGCCCGCTGACATTTTATTTGCAGTGACTGCGCAAATACCTACAAGCTCGAAGCTACTACCCCCAAACCCGAAGCTAGCCCCGACCCCACAACTACCTCCGACCCCGAAGCTACCGTCGACGACGAAAAATACGCGCTCGTCATTCTGATCGGTGCGAATTCCTCCAATCAGAGCACAAACGAGCTGCATAGCGATATCCCTATGAAGTAGCACTTTGCAGTCCTCATCGTCAACCTGCTGGCCACCATTATCTCGTTCGTGGGCGTTTGCTGCGTGCGCAAGTGGTTCATGCAGTTGCCGCTCATTGTCATTGCGGTAGCTTTACTTTAGTGCTTTCGATTTTCTGAGGGAGGGGGACCGAAAATTTTAGTGTAAGTCTAGAAATGCTTAGCAAGTTAATAAAAAGTGTCTTATAGTGTTTTTGGTAACCTATAATCTATTTCAACTAGCGAAACTATCTAAAAACTAGAAAAATCTTGAAAAAGCGGAAATTTTGGAAAAAAAAAATCGGTCGTTTGGTGTCGATAAATATTTTTGATAGTTTTTAATAGAAATTTGTAAAGTTTTCACGTTTCGTAATAGCAAAAAAACCATTTAGAAACAGCTCTACCATTTGTATTTGAAAAATTAGATCCTAAGAAAAAAAGTCTCGCCGATAATGCGAAAGAACCTCTACGTAGATCTACTTCTTTCGGACGGCAAGTTTGGCAAGCAAAGAAAACGGACTATATTATAAGACGATGATAATAAGATGGAATTTTTT